GTGCGCCCAGATGGACAAAGGTCATCAACCTCCTCATTGAAGCTGAGTTGCCGTCCCTGGATACCCGAATTGATCTAATGGCAGCACAGTTCCTTTCCAAGGTCTTGCAGGCACCCAGAAACTCTTACTTAAGACAAAGAGTACTTTAACGCCTACAACAAGATTATCAGTTGTTGACTCACACACACAGCGAAGAGTATTGATACGCTGGGGTAAACGAAATGATCGAATTCTCAATCCTAAATCTTACAATGAGAAAAGATCAATATTCCATGCCTAGCCTAAAGGCACAAGCACAAAGGGTCATTGATCAAATAACTCCGCCGGGTAGTATAACCTACTACACGGACGGATCCCTCGATCCCATAAACCACACTGCAGGCGCCGGCTTTGCAACAAAGGATACCACAGCATCCATTAGGGTCACTGACAATGCCTCAACGCTTCAGGCTGAAACGGTTACGATCATGACACGCGCGTCCCAAAGGGTTGGACATGTGGTCATTCACACAGACTCTAGAGCAACCACTGACAGTCTACAGCATAATATGCCCTAAGGCATCTACCTTCTGACATCTGTACTAACCATAGCCCAAAGAATACTCAGTCAGGGTAGAAGCATTATCATAAACTGAGTCTCAAGCCACATTGGCATTTAAGGGAACGAGCTTGCTGACAGACTAGCCGAAAAGGGCAGGGCTATGCCCCCATCCTCTCTGATCGTTAAACCTAGCCGAAGGAGACTAAGCCCAAGTACCAAAACTGCAGTGTGTGCAGTCCTCCGGGGAGCACATAGAGAAAATGCCATAAATTCGCTCGCTGCCAAGTGGTACTCAGATGCTACAGGCTATAAGCCACTGGCCCTTCCTCCAAATACAAAAAGAGGTGCCGAAGTCATACTACACAGATTAAGACTAGGTTTCCCATGCACTTGGCAAATTATTGATGACGAGACTGCCAGGTTATGCAAACACTGCGGCGAGTCTAACGCCACCCTGGTACATTACTTACAGAATTGTGTACACCCACATTTTCTGAGGCAGGGACCACCCACCACAGCCGCCAGGCTGGTAAAAAGGGTTTGCCACATGCTTACTCCGTGGCAGCTGCATCGCTTGCTCGCAATTCAGCCACCACGATAAGCATACAGTTCAAAGAAAACACATGAGTTAACAAGAAATAGTTGACACAGGCCGGGCCACTCCAGAGAAAAGGCCCGGGCGAAGCATGACCGCAAATCTAACTGAACTGCACTTGTATCCATTTCGGTTTTGTCTGACGAGGAACTCGTGATGGGTTCGAAACGTCACGCTTATTTTCAACTCTCATTGTGGCTCATTTTTGTGTACACGTTATTATGTTTGTGCTTGTAAATCTATTTTCGTCATGGGCGATACAGATACATCATAAATAGATAATATATTTTGAAAAAAAAACTATATAAGAAATTAGGCATGAAAGGGTTAGCGGGTACTAATGTTTTTATTATCATCTTTTAGGATTCATAGGCTTAAAGAGCTGAATAAAATCATATGATATGAAATTATAAGAAATAAGATTTTTAAAAATCGAGTGTACAAAGGAATAAAGAAAATGTAAATAATCGCAAACAAAAGAAAGAAATATTAATAACATTCGATAGATATGAAAAAATAAATTCAAAGGATTGAACCTTGAAGTGACGCACTTGATAAGATACGTGCAATTGATAAGGCTGATCTTGTGGATTACACCCATACTGTGATTGTTTATGCCTTCCATTTTCCCTGGTGTACAGTGCGCCATTATTGTGTAACCATAAGATTTCTAGCAGTCATTTGCAAAACACAATTAGCCTAACGTCATTGTCCCTGGTTCCTTAAGTAGGCTATATTTGCACACACACACGCGCGCGCACATATATATGAATGTATGTATGTGTGTGTATATATATATATATATATATATATTATAATATATATATATATATATATATATATATAATGTATATATTTGTATATGTGTACATGAATAAGATAGGTAATGTCTATGGATGCCACTAAGCTCCTAGTTGCACATTTCTTTTGTTGGATTGTGTATCAGTGGATAGAGTGCCCGTTTTGTGATTTCTTTGCAATGGCGGTGGGGGTTCGAATCCCTGTCAGAGAGGTTATAAATTCATATGTGTACATAAATATATATACTCGCATATATGTATGTGTGTGTGTGTGTGTGTGTGTAAAGGACGAATTTTTAATAATTATTCAACTGAATCTTTGTAGATATCATATTAGTCAGTTTTTCATATACTAATTTATTTAAATATAAGCCTATTCTACCTGTATTTACTGTATTGTTAATTTTATTGTTAATTCATTAAGGGTCGTGGATGGGAATGAATTCAGTCCTCTGTGAGTGTCACAAAAACATTTTCAACCATAAACATTTTATTCATTAATAAATAATAATGATCAGGTGGCATAACATCCTTTAAATCTTAGCAATAAACATGAAAATAATT